ATTGGATATTAGGAAAAATTTCTTCACCAAAAGGGTTGTCAATCACTGGAACAGGCTGCCCAGGGAAATGGTTGAGTCACCATCCCTGGAGGGATTTAAAAGACGTGTAGATGTGGTGCTTAGGGACATGGTTTAGTGGTGGACTTGGCAGTGTTAGGTTTACAGTTAGACTCAATAATCTTAAGGGTCTTTTCCAACCTAAATGATCCTATGATTTTATAAAGGCAGAGGGCACAGATTGAGTACTGCTCCTCTGCTGTACACCTCAATATTAGGGGGCTCAGCTACTGTTCAGCTCTCAAACACTAGCAACATAAATAATACTCTGGGTGAGGTCCACGTGCTGTGTAGAATAGCTCACCACACACTTGATACTGTACATCACAATAGGTTGAACCCTGTTGTGCTAGATAACCTTAAAGCCACAGAAGCAGCATTTAAGCTCCAAAATCTTAAATTTTCCCCCCAAATTAGAATATTTTTCACAAAACACTTTTTAATATTGACAATCAAGCCAAGCATACTATTTCAGACTAAGCCATTTCTGAAGGCTGCAGCAGCAGAGAGCAGCCTTCTCACAGGACACAAATCTGTTGCTTGTTATTTGAGAAAAAATGAGGTGGCTTTTTTTATGTAGTTTATGAGTTTGACATATAGCTGCATTAATTATATGGCTCTTTTCTGTGTGTATCCATCATCCAGAATATCTTCCAAGGCTGGGCTCCAGCTTCATTTCACTTAAGCCTTCATCCTTGCCAGTAATCACATTGGCCCCAGATGGGTCATTCAAAGCCGATTGCTCCCCAGAGAATCCTGTCTCAGCTTCACAGAGAGGAAACTACAACATTGAATGGATGCTTTAAATCGCAAAGAAAACCATAAGCACAAACAGCTTGCAAAACTGGGATCGGTGCGCTTATTGCAATACCCTCCCAAAGATGTGACAATATCCATTTGAAGTCATTCGTAGCATTTTCCAAATTATTTGGCTTCTCACGTTGAGCTGTAAGATCAAACCTGTTCAGGACAGATGCCTACTAGTAGGGGAGCAAGGGGGAACAGAAGAAAAATGTGCTTTAATTATTTCAGAAGCAAAAACATAACATGCAAAACTACCCCAACATATTTTTAACTTTAGAGCAACTCAGTTTTATTGAAAATAACTTTATTCCAAGCCATTTGAAAGCCACAATCTACACAGCTGCTTACACCATCAAGATAGATGAGCAAAACATATTAAAATCTAACAGAAATAATTGCTCCCTGCTGTTTATTGATAATTCCCTGAGGTGCTTGTAAATATATCCCTTGAAAGGTGACTAAAGCAGATGGTGTTTTTCTTTTCTGTTCAGGAGCATCGCTGTATTAGTTTCTCCATGTTAAATTCAGTTATACTTTTATTCCCCATTTCAAAAATTTGAAGTCAAAGGCAGGGCAATCTTAACCCTTCCTCCTTGGGGCTATCCCGGGGCATGTGGATAACTCATATAAAACACTCAGAGAAGAAAATACGTTAGGGCTCTGGGGCAAAGCAGTTTACAAGCTGCAAGTTCACTGGTGCCAAACACGTCGCAGCCCTGTCTCACAGAGCAGTGCCACAAAGAAAACCAGTTTTGCAGGACTTAGAAGCAACATTAGATGAATGTGGTTCGGGTCGGTGGCAGTTCAGCTATTTCTGCAGTGTGCCGATATAGATAAAGCCTTCAATTCCCAAAGGACACACAACTGCTAAATGGAGGAGGTGCTTACCTGTGAGCAGGCCATTCTCCAACAGCTCTCTGCACCAACTGCTACATTTGCAAATGGCACCAGTCCTTTACAATTTCCCTAAAGTGTCCAGTTGCTCTCTCTTATCACCCAGTTGCGCAGACTTAACCCTACAGACCAAGCACTCGCTTCAAAGTTTGTTAAAACCAGAAGGGGAATTCTTACACACAGCCGTTTCTAAACAGTGCTAATCCCAAAGGTATCAAAAAAGTAATCAGGCAGTCCTCACATGACATTTCCATATAATAAAGCTGTAGGTTTTGGGTTGTCTTTTTCTGGCCTTTTTAACGCCACAATACTTTCTTTCCCATACTTAGGCTTTGGCCACTCCCTAAAGATTTCCCAGTCTAGTCTTTTCCTGGCCCTCATTTGTGCCCCAGAATAGATACTAGCCTATTTGTTTCAGGTTCGTCGTTCTTTCCCCCAGATCAAAATGTAGAAGGGACAGGACATAGAGAAAATTAACAGTACCATCCTATTGCTTGTAGGAACATCCCCATATTGCTCCTGCTCCTCCTTGTGCAAATGGCATCAGTTGTCAATAGCTGAAGATGGGGAAGATGACAGGAGGCACCCCTCTGGCTACACTTCGCCAGAGCATGAGTCAATACGAGAGTCAACCAAAGGGATCGCTCCATCTCAGTCCAGGAAGGAAGGCAATTTGCAAGAGAGTAAGAGCATTCATACCACAGCAAGTTTCCTTCCAGGCCCAGCCAAACTCACAACACTCGCTTACAAAGCAGAGGAAGAAGAGGACAGAAAATTGCTCTGCTTCTCTCATATTCACTACAGCTGTAATTAAAGCACTTGAAATAAATATTTAAACTTGTATTTTGAAACACAATCCCAATATATTCTTAGTTGTTCCAAACAAAGATTTTATTTCAAAGAACGCTTCACTACACCTTATCTTTGCAGTCTGTCAACATAGCTGAAATACAGCAGTAATATGCAACTTGAACAATGAAAAAATAATAGTTAGTCCTGAATTAAGTCATACAGCAACAGCCCTTTCCCAGCTCAGTGTAAGATCCAGCATGGTTTGCCTCAGGAGCAGACTTTTCCTTGGCTTTTTAAAAATGGTGCTCAAGTAAGCATGAAAGAGCTCAGGACAAATCACTCCCCTCAGAGATTCCAAGGCTGGGTCACAGGAGTTTGCTGCAATGCAGAACACAGACTTTATTCCTGAAGAGAAAAAAATTAATAAAAAACAATTTTACATCAGGCAAAATATTTAACAAATTGAAATTTACCTTAATCCTAATCACTGGAAAGTTCAATTTACAAAATCCTCCTACAAAATATGGTAAGAACCAGAGAGCCCATTCTAGACAGAAAAACCTGACAGCATAATCTTTCTTAGCCTATTTGTTCACTTGTCTAACACTGATGATGAGCTTCTATGTAAAACTGCACCAGCTGTGTGTGAAATACTCTTTTCTGGGTAAAGTGGCTAGACACCATTTAGCAAGTACATTGTTTCAGGAGAATAGCATTTAATACAGTGGATATTCACTACTTCTCACCTGTTTTCATTTGGAGAAACAGGGCTTCACAATCCCGTAGGTATCTTTGAGTTGTCTAATGTTCAGACAGAAAATCAACAACCCACAACCCTTGACCATTCAATAGATGTTTTCAGAAAACTTTTTTTTTCAGAAACAGATGTACAAACTGCTTACTTTTTCATAAAACACTGTGTAACAGCTGATGTCTGGCACTTGTTTTTCACTAGAGGCAATGTGAATAGTTTAAACTTTGCTCAATGGGGAAACTAGGACTCAAATCGGTGATCAAACTCAGTACCTCAGTAAGGTTACAAAACGCTTACTGACTTTGAACTACTTTACATTCACACCTATGGGACAAAAGCCAATTCGCTCTCGAGAAGATACCTGTATTTTTATTTTCTCCTTCTCCAAATCTACAAAGAACAAGTCATGGAAAAAATGAGAAGGAAAGGATAATGAAAGATGGTAGAGATTTTTTCCACTGATTTCTTGAATCAAGATATAAGGCACTGATTTTAAAAGCAGTTCAGAGTGGAGAATCATTACAATTCAACAGGTTTCACAAAATAAAATGCAGTATGTTTTTATCTTTAAATCTAAAGTAATATGTAAATTTGATTATTAAAATGCAAGACTACCCAATTGCTGACAAAGTATCAAGGACACTATTTAATTTTTTTATCTAAACACTTCGCAGGATATTTCTATTGCCACTTATTAGGAAACCAATTTTATCATTCAATATATAATTCTGCATCATAAAGAAACAGCGTAAGTAAGATCAAACATTAGGAAGTGTCTTAGTAAAAACAAGTTTATTCATCTCTATTTTATGCAAATATGTAAATAGTCAGCAAAGCCTTTTTGCCATGACTGTAAATTTTTTATTTAAAAAAACTGTGTTAAAAACCAATACAGGAATTTCCATTAATGTTCTAAAAAAGTTTGTTCACATCTTGAAAGAAAATACATTAGCAACATCTCCCAGCAGAATTCATCTTTAAAAAAGTAAAACTCTAGGTGCAGAGCTTTTCTACAGTATAGTATCCTCTACGTTTTAATTTAATCACAGGATTGAATATCATTCTTCTCTATTGTCTCTAGAACATGATCAAGAGTTTATCTTAAATAGATGATATTCAATCATGTGTTACACATTGCCACAGGTACTAACATTATTAGAAGAGTGCACAACTGAATTTCATTAACAAAGCAAGACCTTTCTATATGCTGCATCATAACCCTTCCTAACCAATACAGTTAATTTAGCTATATGCCTTTAAAATCATGTACGTTTTCCAAGGAAAAATACTAAAAAATCCATGGTCCAAATTCTGCTCCCACTTATATTCACAGGATAACATAAGCACCATCAAGTTGTGGTTTATAGCTGAAAAGCATATAGATAACCAGTGAGTTTATGAGTATAAGGGAGAGAAGAACTTGACCCATGTCTGTAAACATTCACAAAAGTCTGCAGTCAAAAGTGCTGGATAGGCAGCCTATCCGCAGTACAATTATTTCATTCACAGAGAGGTGTGGGGGCAGAGAGAATGTTATGGAATATTATTTTAGAGGCAAATTAAAATGCTTTTATGTACTTCAGAAAGACATATTCTTAGCTAGCTAAACCATACTCCAGTAAAACATAATCCACTTCTAGCCAAATACAGTACAGCATCATTTCCTAGCTCTCCTGTTCAGATTCAGACAAAGGAGTACTCAATTCAGCAGCAACCCCATGACAGTATTTCAAAGCGTAAGAAAACCCACACACCCCTCTGATCTAGCCTCCCCTTAACACACTACTGATGCTAACAGGAGATCCTCACACATATGAAGAAAAGATCTGAAGAACCATAAACTGACCTTGATCTGTGCACACACAAGAAGTGTGCATGTAGACGAAAGATCGTCTACAGCTTTAAGTATCTAGTTTCAGTCTAGATCTCATTCTATATTAACCACATATACCATACAAAACATAACAGAAGGATAGGTGCTTATACACACTATTAAGTATACTTGTTCTCCCCATTCAGTTTGACAGCCAATTGCTCTATTTACATAAACGTCTGTTTGAACATTCCTGATCCTGTAAGATGCCAAACATTCAACTCATAAGCTAAAAGGAGAGTCAAGGATGCTCAGCAATTCACAGGATCAGACCCTGAATCAATTAAATGCAATTACAAATTAGGTTTGACATCTGACACAGCCTCCTGGAATCATTTTACCCTCATGTCTTCCCCCTCTTTCCCCAAATCAGACCACGCTCCCACTAACGCGGAGACAGCCTTCCAAGTGAATAGGATCAGGCTCTGTCAAGCAACCACTGCAGTCTTTAAAAATGTCTGGTATTTATTGCCATCCACTCTGGGGCAGACTGGTCTGCAATGAAAATGGTGTTCCTGGTGTTGATGGATAGTTAGCAAAACCTTCAGGCTGAGCTGTATAGTTCTCCAGAGCAGAAGCAGAATGTGCCTTCAAGGAAGAGAAGAAGTTAGGAAACAGCACTGATAAAAACAAAGAAACAAACAGAAATGTGAATCAAGCAAAACTTCAGGCATAATACCAGTCCTACTCAAGCCAAAACAAACAAAGTATAATCTGAAGTATGCAAAGAATAGAGATGAGCAGTGCACCTATACCCAGATGTTAAACTGTAGTGCAACTATTGCTCTGAAATACCAGAGAATGAGGAAATCGGCTGGATTAAAAGGAAAAATGAAGAAGCGTTAATGGCATTTCCTTTCCAGTGGAGTAAGCCACAGGTGATTTGGAAGACATAGCTTAATCAGGAGCTGTAGTATTTCACTGACTTCAAACTTCCTTTATCTTCATTGCTCAAGTAGCTAAGCGTTAATTTTAGTGATTGGAACTTGTAAACAAGAAAACTGACGTTTTCTCAATGCAATCTGCATACATAGATTTCTACAGAATTTCTAAGCTGCATGGCCTAGATTAAGTGATTTGCTGCTTCTGATCTATTTCCCCTGATATTCGAAAGATATCTGACAATATTCTGCATACTGAACAGTACTTAGACACATGGTCCATTTGAAAAACTCATGTGTCACAGAAGAGAGAAAACATTAATTCTAGACACTTGTCTGCCTCTTTTAGTATTTTGTAGAGAAGGACAGATTTCCTATCAGAATCCTTAATCTGTAGAGGTCGTTTTTAACAAAAGGCAAAGTAAACAACTAAATACAAATTCTGTTGATAGTATCAGTTAACTTATGTAGGTTGATAACTGAAACAAGTTGTTTCATGGGCAAGAGAGATGATGAAACTACTCATTACCTAAACCCACCTCAAGCTTGTATTACAATTGTGGGAACTATCAAGAGGCACAACCACAGCAGACACAAATTCAAGACAACCTGATTGCTTATGTATAGAGGCACATAATTCACACAAAGTGGTTTTCTACAGAAATCTCTAAGTATTAAAATGTCAGACTGGAACTGAGCACAAATTTTGCAACTACATTGTCAGCTCATTAGATTTAACACAAACCTAGCAAAAATTTCACTTGCATGTGAAACTCCTCCCCATTTTACAAAGAGTTTTCAAAAAGGGCTTAATCACATTCATAACATCCAGAAGCATTGTACATTGGCCTTGAGTAAGAAGTTATAAGAGTTGTTCTTTATCGTCGTCCTTGTAATCAGTTCTCAAACAGGTTAGGGGTTTTAATCATTTACTGACTTCAATTAATCCCAAGAAGTTAACACACAAGTATATGCTCAGACGATTACTGGAAGCAAAATAGTATTAACAAATAGGCATGTTACCTGTAGTAGTGCTGACTGCGCAGCCGCACTATGCTGCAGTTCCTGTAAGGAAGATTGTGCGGCACTTTGGGGAAAGCCAGGGATACCAGGGAGAGATAAAAGACCAGGAAAAACTGCATTTCCTGGTGTCTGTAGTCCAGAAGTCAAGCTGAAAGAATGTCAAGATGCAGCTATTGTTAGAAACATCTGCACTGTTTCATCCTATGTTTCTTTCTATATAAGCTTACGTCTACGTAAATTAGAAAAGCAGCTCTTTTTCTAAACTTCATAAAGTCCAGAATTTCCAAACAGAAGCCCAGTCTCTACCCACCTACAAATTATTCATGCACACACAAACCAAGACTGTCTGGAGCACACCTAAGGGAACTCAAAAATTTTTGTACCTCGGCTGTGCCTGCAGTTTGCACACAAAAACCCTTTACAGACAAAAGTTAATGCTGAATTCTTCCTTAAAACATAGGAACATCTAAGATATTGTCTGCTATTACCTGGATGTGTCAATGGATGCCCACGTGGAATCCATTCTTGTAAAAGCCTAGGAGGTGCCAAGTATCCTCATCTGGGAAATAAGATCACTCAGCACCTCACTGGATTAGACTGTCGTAACAGGGACTACTGAGAACAACCTATTTAGTAACTACTCTATCTATCAGTGTCTAAAGACAGGTGGAAATCTACTGGTGAACTAACTTTAAAAATTAACCATAATTACTAACTATGAGTGAAAATAACATCTATGCCCATAGTAAAATCAGTGTTTTGCTCAAGAGAAAAAGAAATGGTTCTGACCTCCTTCAGAAACAGAAACATACCCAGCCTGTGCAACAAGTGCAGAGTTGAAGTTTGAGCTAAAGGCCGAGGCAAACCCTGGCAGGACCGGAGCCGGAGATGGGGCTGTGGCAGCTGCCGGCAACGGTGCAACTGCTGCTACTGCAGAAGATGCCTGGAGGCCAGGGAAAGAAGGGAGAGCAGGAGTGACAGAGGGTGTGTTAGAGACAGGAAAACCAGGGAAGGATGGGTTTGATGATCCCAGAGGTCCCTGGGCAACAGAAAAAAGGGAAGGGACGGCACTGGACAAGTTAAGCGAGAAGGGTGGAGCAGAGACTGTTGCTGAGGCGGCGAGTCCTGAGAGCACGGCGGCGGTGGAACTCACATGAGGGGCAGACACGGCTGAAGCGGTTGTAGACGGAGTAGGTAACAAAGACCCTGGGAGAGTGACGGGTGGCGTAAGTGCTGGATTACCAGTAAAAGCAAAGTTACTGGTTAGAGACGTAAAAGGAGGAAGTCCATTGAACACCGGGGTAATGGGAGCAGAGGAACCATGTGGGGCGAGGGAAATGGAAGCCAGAGAACTGGAATTGTTTAGAGGAGCACTCAAAGAGGAGAGACCTGATAGCGCTGGGTTCAGGGAACTGGGTAAACTGACTGGCACTGAAGCTGCCGAGGTGTATGCACGCCCAAGCGCTGACAGTCCTATAGTGCCGTGAGAAGGGCCAGCTGAATGAGAAGGACCTTTGAAGGCTGAGAGAGTAGGACTCATGGGTTCTGTTTTGACCAGAACTGGGACATTTGTGGCAGCTGGGGCTGATGAGAGCTGCTGATCAGGATTAGTAGGGCTTGTGCCATGCAAGATGGAGGCTGATGAGCCACAGTTGACTGGCATAATTGATGGTGAAGTGGTTAAAGGTGACTGTGTAGGCAATGTTGAAGGAGTGGAATTAGAATTGGCCACAGATGGGGATGGAAGACCTGGAAAAATGGCCAGCCCAGGTGTGGAGGAACGCTGTGGGGTGGGGGTGGCTGATGGAGTATAACATTTGTTGACAGAGGAAGTGGGAGGGTCAGAGCTTTGATTAGCAAGAGCAGATAAAGAAGCAAGCTCACTTGTCATAGCAGAAGGTAAAGCAGATGAATTGATTAATGAAGTGTCATTTGATGTCAGAAATCCCTTTAAGACAGACAAAATTGGGTTAGGCAAGCTAAGTGAACCAGGAATGGTAGTGGCAGGAGAATTAGCAATTGTAGATGGAACAGGACTAGAAATCCCTTGTACGTTGGGAGGCAAGGACAAAGGGAGGCCAGCAAAAACTGATGACAATGGAGTGGGATTATTAGTGGAAGCAATTGAAGAGGTCGCAGAGAACGGGAGGCCAGCAAATGGTGCAGTAGCAGATGCGAAAGCTTCACTAGGCGCAGGTGTGGCACATGGTGTAGAAGAACCTTGCGGAGCTGGCGCAGCAGTGGGTATAGAAGCCAGCCCAGAAAAAACTGCAGGGATAGGGGTAGAGGTTGCACTGTGAACAGATGTGACAGGAACACCAGGCAATGAAAGGGATTTGATGACAGTAGGGGTTGGAGTGGATGGCTGAGATGTGTGGATGGAAGAGGAGACCTGTTCTGGGAAAACAGGAAGGACAGGGGTAGGCATGTTCATCCCAGATATGAGTGGAGTTGCAGGTGCTAATGGATGGCTTATTGCCTTGACAGGTGATGGGGTAGGGACTGGAGTAGCAGCAGGTGTTGAAGGATTAGAACCATGAGGAGTAAAGAGCTGATTCGCTTGTGCAGAAAAAGCTGCAAAGAAACAAAACTGGTAAGAATACTTGAAACCGTCAGAAATGTTTGAAATCAACAAACACATATTACACAGCATTTCAAAACATGATACACAGGCAATAGCTAACATACAATGTCTGTATATAAACAGTGAACACTGGAACCTATGAAAACAAAACAAAAAGGTACATACAAACACATCACACACGTTGTACATCACGTAGGCTACCACTCCTCTTTAAAACACTTTGTGACATCTGCTACCTCTTCATGATCTCATGCAAGACAATTAGATACTTAAATGTACTCCGTAAGAATGTCTAAGTGATACAGGTAAACACCCTCCCTCTGGTCCCTAACATCTGGCAGTACCCAAACCAGATCTAATATTCCATCGGCATGAGATCACCTGGGCTCCTCTGCATCCACTCTCACTGAAGGTCAGAATTTCCTTCAGAACCAGTTAATTCAATGTATCATGATTTCAGAGAAGTTTAGTCAACAACTGCAGAAAGCTGATTTCAGGTGCTGGTATTTTTCCTTGCTTCAAAATCACGTCATTCTCTTCACTGTGTTTCCTTCAGATTTTGATTCTAAGAAGGTACACTTTTAAATTCATGTATCACACTACAGTATTAAACTAACATAGGCACTTGACCATATCAACAAATATTTCTGTAAGTCTGAAGTCAGGTGTCTATAATCGAGGCAAGCACCTGCTACTAGGAATACCAGCTTATATCAATCCTACAAAGTAAGTCAAAGAGATATCAGTCAAGCTGGAGGAAAATGGCAGGCACACTGCGAATGGGGATGTGGGGGTTGATGGAAAGAAGCTGCATTTATGAACACTGGCATGTCAAGACCCTTGATATGCCTCTATCTAGTTTCCTGTGGAGTATGAATGTGTTAATTAATCACTCCTCTCAAACACCCCTCATGCTTTATTTTACTTTTAAAATAATCTGTTCAACTGTAAGCAAATCACTGATCCAACCAAACTCATCACCCATAACTCTGTAACAGCTTAGATTTCTCTCTTGTCCAAATTCTACACATACACACAAAACCAAACCTGCAGTCTTTAAAATCTTGGAACTAAGTTGATATGAACAACTCCCAGTTTATGTATCTTGAAACTCTAAAACTAGCACGTTTGCAAACAAAGTATTTCCTTTAACATATTATTTTCCGAAACCCTAGACCCAGATTGCACAGCTCTGGATTCTGGCTTTTCCTCATCCTGTTTCCAAGCTGAAGACTCTCCTAAAGATCACAGTTGTTAATCCTGACAGCCAAGATTATCACCAGAGAAATGCAGCTGCAATAGAACCCAGAGCTGTTACTGAATTTCTCCTCCTAACAGAAGACTTTATTCCTTACACTGTATTCATTTAGCTGTATAAACTACCTTGTAAATACGTGCACACTTAAAGGGGTATATAAGAATAAAGTGATTCTTTGAAACAGCAACATAACTGTAGAACCATCCCTGGGCATAGAGAGGAAAAGAAAAAACTTTTTTTTTCCCTTAGAAATATTTACAGGAGCTAAACTTATCATGGTCATTTCATTTATTTTGGGTATTTGTTATTATGCCTGACTCAACAGTCAGTAGATTCTCAATTTCTCTTTGTCAAACCTAACAAAATATTATCAAAGCCTTTGTTGTAAGTAGTTCAGAATGGAATTTATTATTATGACTTGTACTAAGTGCACAAAGCATATAAAGTACCACACAAATATAGACCAAAAAAAAAAAAAAAGGACATCTCTCTTCTGCAAAAAGAATTGGAATTTAAAAGATAAGATAAAAGTGCAGGTAGACATAGTTGGATGTAACAGTCTGGGGTAAGACATTCTACACATGGATTTCAACAAACTATGAACAAAGTATCTGTCTCCCTTGTATTCCTAGCTTCCCATTATGAAATTGAAATCTGAATGAATTTTCAAATAGACGTCCAAAGTTTTAAAAACTGCAAAGATATTAATGAAGTGTTTCAGTGTGCTACATTGCAAAGCATATTTTGATTTATTTTTTTACATGATTTCTCACATATGCTGAAGAATATAAAACTTTAATCAGCTAACACAAAAGGCCGAATTGTAACGTTTATATGCTTCTAAGTGCCAAATGCCTAAGATGATTTTTTTCTCAACTCTCAAGGGATCCTATTCCAACATTAGTTAAATACTTAGAGGCTTATGAAAATCCCACTAAACAAATAAGTTGTTTACATTTTCTGAACAAATAACAAAGATACGATCAACACAAAAATCCCCCTGTGGATTTGCAATTTACCTTGATTTTGGGAAGGTTTTGCCTGTCCGGAAAGGTCCTCATTTTCTAAACACAGAACAACAGCTTGTTATTTAAAAGCAAATGAAAGTCTAGCAATGAATGATTCATACACAACAACAAATTTGAAAAAATACCATCAACTTTTTTAAAGGTAGACATGCTTTACCTGATACCACTTGATTAGCAGTGTATGGTGGAGGAGCTGGTAAGCCTGGAGCTATGACATTAGCCATTGGAACTAAGCCAACATTGTTGTAAGCACCTAAAAGAACAAATGCAATACACATCTCAGTTGTCAGAAAAACCCATATCTAAATGAACCAGTAAGTGTCTTTTCCTTTAAAAGAACATTTTCAAGATTGTGAGGCGTTCTTTCACCAAAGAGCTGGACCAGTTAATCATCCAGGCTGGATGATGGCTTTTGCCAATGTCTGCCTGAGTGACATGCATTGTGATCCAAATTTGAGTAAGGGCAGTTCTCTTGAAAGAGACCTGAAAAAGTCAGGTTTCAATTGTTTTCAGTTCCATTTTGCCTGAAAAACTCCAAGGGGAGGAGTGATTCAGAGTCTCTGCAGCACTTTTTGTTCTTTTTCTATTCCTAACTTCAAGGCTGTTACAACGCTTCCTTTACTATTAAAGCTTGACAAACAAAAGAGCCAAACACACACAAGTGACCATGACCAGCCCTCCAATGCTGGTCAGAAGATTCAGAGAAAAATGTCCCATCTCAGATACTTCTTCAATATTTCTTTAAATGTTAAGAAATTCAAGCAAATTATTTTAATATAAAATACATATTGTACTTAACATATGAAAAAAATACCTTTTTTCCTCCCTTATTCTTTGGAGCAACTCAAACTGTTGTAGAGCTGCGGTATACAGTTCTGATGACGAACATCAGAATTCAAATCACAGGAACATAAATACACTTCACAGTGGTCCTCAACGAATATTTTTAAGAGTATAAGAACTTACGCTTCATGGGAAAAGGAGGCACTTGAACATTACTCAAAGTGCAGTAATTTGTCATACATAACTCCTTTCTGATTTCACACTTTCATAATTGTTCTACCTACTGTTAAAATTTCTTGCATGACAACTCTTGGCTGAAAATTAGACAAGTAACTAACAATCATCGCATCACCCAGGAAGGAAATTTTAAACCAATACATATAAGAGGCAGAAAACAAAACATCATTCTGACCATTGCTTGAAAACAACAACATTCAATAGTTTCAGGTCAGCATCTGCAATCTCATTAAATGCATTTTATATAAATATATCATCAGTTATGAGTTCTGTTGTCAAAAGGGTTTTTTTAAAAACCATGCTGCAGCCTAGTAAGGCCCTGAAACCTCAAAAGCTGTCTCATATCTTAAAATGTACTAATACTTACATCCAGTCACAGGCCAAATTTTGTGCCCTAACCTACTTTGGATAGGATTTGTTTAACATAAATTTGAGCTAGTCTGCAAGTTTTCTGTACACTTTCTGGGGTGCAAGTCATTTCTAGGGCACAAATCATCAGACTTTAGCCACTAGGAGTGTCAATTTTTCCAAACCAACGATAAAGAGACTTGCAGACATCAAGTTGGTGAGATGACTCATCCTTTAACATGCATGCTAAGAGCTCTACCACATCAAATGCCTTAAAAATTCCCTGAAATTCCTAACATCAGTGAAAAGCAAGCTTCCTAATCACAAGCACTCCTTGTTTTACAGTACAGAATAGCAAGATTAGGAAAAGCTTTCAGCTGCTGCTCAAAAAGACCAGTCTGACTATATAAGTACTCCACCTCTTTTTCAAAAAGAAATTGCAATTGCCTCGCTCCCTTCACAAAAGTGTCTGGAATCAAACAACTGATGCAGCAGAGTAGAGAGGAGTTTATGAAGAAAGACTCAATCTTACCTGGGGCACAAAGCTGGGAATTGTCAGACCAAACACAGGAAAAGGCAATCACTGTGTCCCTTCTGAGGCTGAAATCTACATGCCTAAACCTTTCTCTGAGGAAACTGTTTCTCCCCATTGTGATGGTAAGTAAAGCTGAGGGCAACTGAGAAACAGATTACCATCCTTCAGCAAGTTCCTACGTGTTTCCACCCAATTCAGGGCCATGTGGAAGGTGTCCCTGCCCATGGCAGGAGGGTTGGAACTAGATGATCTTTAAGGTCCCTTCCAACCCAAACCATTCTATGATTCTATTCTATGATTCTATACCCTAAGTTTGGTACAACAGCAACAAGTTGACAGACTTGTCAAGCCAAAGCCCAAACCTTGGTCAAACATTGTAACAACAACACAGCCCTAGTCTTGTCTAACATGCAAAATGCCTCCCATAAATGAAGTATTTTGTCATCAGAACAGCATTGTGAATTTTCCTTATCATGTGGACGTTGAAAAAAGAATACAATATATTCCTCTTCTTATCATCTCTGCAGTCATGACAGGAAGAGGTAGAAACCAGTACCTGGAGCATACTTAGGGAGCTCAAGCCAGTTTCAGATATGATCATGGTCAGAGAAACTGGCAGTTAGACTTATTACTTAAAAGGCAAATGGATGAAACAATAGCATCAAGCTAAAACACATAGAAGCCTTACTTGGTGCAATAGTTGCGTGTGGCCGACATGGTGGGATGGGGTATGGAACTGGTTTGTGTGGATTGTAGGTTGATGGAGCCTACATAAACAAAAAACAAACGGAAGAAGCAATAGTGAAAGCATTACCTAATGTTTCTCAGACAAAAAGCTAACATTCAGCTACTACTACAAACAGTTGTTCTTCACTGCAAAAATATGTGATATCAAATTTCTTCATAATATCCGATGACTGCAAATATTTCACTTTTTCTGAGAAGAATGAAACCAACATCACTAGTATACCTTTAGATTTTAATGTAATACTGAACACATGTGGGAAAGGGAACTTCTTCCTGCCTTGTAGTTTTCACCCTCTGAAGCTTTGGACTGACCTCATTTTAAAGATTTAGCACATTTAAAACTAACAAATACTTATGAAGTTACCTGTCCCTACAGTTTAGTGAGAAACATGTCATAATAGAAGTGAAAATAGAGCATTTGGACAATACTTCAAAGTACTATCAAGGTCATTGAAAGTTTGCTCCATATGCTTAAAAATTTTGAAATACAGATCAGTTGTTTTGTCAAGAAACAAGAACCTCCTTCTAAGGCACTGTTCTAATTCAAATTTCCAAGATGCAGGCAGTTTTTATGTTCATGTAGGAAACCCTCAGAGATGATAATTGAATATATTTCTATCTAAAACTTCCACTAGGTCATGATGAACTACTAAAAATGCTTTTAGTTTTGTGTTCTGCTACTGTAGTTTAAATTCTGCCTTCAAATGCATACACATTGAGTCCACTAGAGAATCCTATCCCCCCACAGATATCAACCAGAGCTTCAAGTTGAATAAAAAAATAATAGGTCATATTATCTTTATTACAGAAGTTTAGCTTTGTTTAAACTGCTGCCCTACAATCTTCTTGCAACATAACAGCATTTTTTATAAAAACCTCATTGAATTGGCTGGTGGTTGAATTTTTTTTTTTTAAAGTTTCATTTAGTGACTCATTTATTAGACATACTGGTTTGGATGGTCCAAGTATACGAGCTGCTATTCCCTTTCCTTCATTAGTACATTCATCTGTATCCTTTTTGATAGGGGTTCCCTGAAACAAAAGAAAATTAAACAATTAAGAATTACTTTAGACGTAAATCTTGCTATAGAATTTCTGCCATATTTGATTTTTTTTCTAAACTACACTTGAGTTTTGGAATATTCTGAAAGTGATCCATGTTTGTTAGGAAAAAGAAACTGTTCTAGGCTTGTAAAAAAGCTTTCCAATAGCTTGGTTTATAACACTGAGCTTTTGTAAAGAGATGCATATTAAACAGTCCATGTTTCTGACATAATTAGAATTCTACAATTTGATTTATGGATATGATAACTTACATTTTGCAGTCCCTTAAGTGTTCACAGGAAATAATTAACATGGTTGTTCAATAAGATTAGCAGCAGTACCGTAGTGACTACATTAGCTCATCTGATCAACCTACCAGTAAGGCTGTTTACACCTCTCCCGATTCTGCCAAATATTGGCTGGAGTTTACAATGTTTTGCTTATATGAACAATGTCTTATTTATGCAGTAATCTTTACTTGAAGCAGCATAGAAAGAGAATGGGCAAATAAAAATAATGCAAGTTCCCTATAAATGGGTAAAGGGGTAAAAAAACCCAAAAACATTGGTTTTGATTCCACTTTTCCTTTGAGGTATATGAATCCTGGTCTTGGTTAAACTATAATGAATCCTAAATCAAGGATGCTGTGAAAAGCAAAAGCATAGGATCATACTTACTGGGAAAATTCCATTTATGCGGCTTGGTTTGCCCTTGGGATAAGGGTTGCCAGGAATCATGCCACAGGATGATATCATAGCATGAGGAGCCTTACAACCCGTTTTTGAAGCCTGCAAAATAACCAAGAAAGGACATTATTTGCTATCGAATTCAACACTTTAAAGAAATTAATTACTATTTCATGACATTTAGACTGTGTTAATCAACCTACATGGAACAACTCAAAGCTTTGTCTCAAATCTTCTTCCTAAATAGTCCAAATAGTGTAAAGTTCTGCCAAAGTTCCCTTTGTTTTGAATAACTCAGACCACTTCTGCTTCTACTGAACTTGGGATTAAGCACTTTGTGTTCTCTAAAACACATGCAGACTGTTTCCTTCAGCATTGGCTGCAATTCTACGACCTTCTTCCATACAATCCCAATGCCTGACAGAAACTTCCCCTTTCTTTGCACATGTATTACATAGCTCTTATCTTTTTGCAGCTGCTTCTTTCAGTTTGTCTTCCACTAGTAGTTCCCAGCAGTCGTCATGGTAAGTCCTGACCCCACAATGACCATAAGGATGGAAACAATACTGTATTTGATAGAATCAAGGACACTAAAGTATCTTGACTACCTGTTCAAGAATTCTTCTGCATCTTTTCTTCTCTGACATATTAATTCTGAACAGATCTTCAATAAGGCGATAATTCTGAGCATCAACAATGTTGCTATAAATAAAGACATTGACAGATGATTACTGCCATTCCATATGCTTATCAGAAATAATGTACTACTGAAAAGTGATCAACACTTATTCAGCCAGTACCCAACAGTACCTTAAAAAAAGATAATTACTTCAATCATAATATTACTATTATTATTAAAGTAAAAAACCCAAGCTTAAATATGAACTTCATACCTGTAACTGAAACATGGTATTAGAATTAAATATCAATATGGTGGCATAGAATTAAATATCAATACAGAACAATGGACGATAGCTAAACTTTATGGCAAAAATAACTACACTGACAAAATGAATTTTGCATCACAACAGTTCATTAGAAAGCTTTAATTGCTACTAGCACACAGTTCCCAGTACAGCAGAAAAGCAGTAGCTACTCAGTTTGCCACTGCTTCTTGCTAGAGTAGCAGATAAACACATTTCAATCTTATTTACTCCAGAATGAAAAAGATGAAACTCCTGGCAATTCTCTCCATGTTCTGCAGAGCTAGAGAAACCCCTCACACAGTTCCAAAAAGTACCCTTCCTTTCTCCTTGTTCCTCTCCCAAAAATAACACAAAATGCGCAAGTACCAGGAGCCTAATGCCAGATTCTACCAGCCTTTTTTGAAACCCTGACCACAGCACATTTACTGCTGTCAAATATTACCAGCCTGATGCAAACTACTGGAAATACAATACAGCCCCAAAATGCAGGACTTCTCAAAGGAGGATATTCGAAGAAATGGAATCAGCACAATGTTGAATGAAGATAGGAAAAATGCCTCAAACAACGGTATTAAAATCATAGAATGGTTTGGGTTGCAGGGGATCTTAAAGATCATCTAGTTCCAACCTCCTGCCATGGGCAGGGACACCCTCCACTAGACCAGGTTGCCCAAAGCCCCATCCAACCTGGCCTTGAACACTTCCAGGGAGGGGGCAGCCACAACTTCAATGTGAATGAACTTACAGCTTTCTTCTCTAGTTTTGATTAGCAAGGTAAGTAGGGTTAGGATTTCTATATCATGACTCCCTTATTATGCTCTTGCACTGCAGAAATTCAACAGCTAAGAAGTTACCATGCTTTCCCCAAACACCAGCTGAAGTGTAGCATCTAAAGAGTCTATGAGCTCCAATCTCACTTCAAGAAGCAAAACAGGTTAGTTTAATGTGCCACTGAATTTCCTTTAGGCTATCCTGTTTTGTTTTAGTCTGACAGAGACTAAGAGCATTCATACAGCTTCTTAAAGCTCAACTCTGAAAGCAAGATAACATCTGTATCCTCAATCTTACTTGTTTTATGGATATTTATATAATGAATTTATATGCCCCAAAATGTTCAAGCTGGCTGTAATATATAGCATTCATATACAAGGCAGACATACTTAGTGCAAAACCCCCCCACCTCAACTCAAAACAGAACAACACTTCATATAATGAATCCCCTAAAACGAGCAGAGGAGTTCCAATACAAACATATGTAAAAGGTAGAGCCTTTGAAGCAACTGTGTTCAGTAAAACCCCCAAACTTTCTGTGTAAACATACATTTAGAATATCTATACACCTTTTATAGACATTAGAACTGTAAATCAAATGTGTCAATTTAAGAGATGTATTTACTTAACTAATTTTTACATACATAATATTTAGAGGGCTTTTCAAATGTGAAAGGGTCAATGCCCAGAACACTCTGGTCTCAAGCCTTTTACATTTCAGTGAGCAGAAATAAGCTTAAGGACCTCTTCATTCACTACAAGATTTAAAGACCACTGTAAAAATATTGGCAAAGTGGCAGTTTTTCAGCAGGCAGAAGCCCAAAGCATGCTCAAGACTCAGATGAACTATGGAATTTTGCACAATGTCTGCTTCTAGTTCTTTTTACAGCCCCATCAATAATGGATTTGTGCTTTACGTTAACTGGCCACAGTGCTTCCTTCTAGAAGTATCTTAAGTATTATATACTGAAACATTAGTAAAACCAAAACAACTTACAGAAATATAACATGAGAGATACTTACGAAGCTAAGATTTCAAGGGCAATAAGTTTATCTTTACTGAATGTGAAGCAGTTGAGAATATTAACCATTTTCGATGCTGGAACTGCCACTATTTTCTGACAAGTAAGCAAGAAAGAAAAAAAAATATATAAAACAAGACACTACAATTATTTTATACCCAGAATGCTACTCAGTAACAGCTTCATATTACGTATATCAGCAAACGTTTAATATTGCATCCCTCTCACTGGGAAGGAGACTTTATGCGCAAAATGGTGAACAAGGAACTGCAAAAAGCACTTCCCAAAAGCAGAGAAATTAGGAAAGTTAACAATAGTCAAAAAGAGCTACATATATTCTTGTGATACACAGGGAAGTAAAAGATACTTTGGTCAGAAAAGATACCCGGGTTAAAAGTACAACATTTTGTATTTCGATACCATTTAAAAAGAAAGAGATGAAGAGGAAACTTTGAAGATTAAAGGGTAGACTGACCCATCAGTTGCAACAGTAGACATTACAAAATTAAAATAAGATTAAGAGGGCAAACTTACTCCAAAAGATTATGCCACAAGAACTTACATGTTGTAAAGCCTTTATTGCCTTGAGCTGTGGTTCGGCCCATGAAAAGTATCTCAGTAACTCAACAACCTGCAACAGAAAGGCTTTCAATTAATCTTTTATATATATTAAAAAAATATGCTAACAGCATCAATATGATCTTTCCATTTTTGGAGTATAGTGGTATATTACTAAAACACATGTGTCTCTCTGTGATGCTTGATTACATCAGTGCCTACCAGCATCCAATGTTCGTTTTATTTCTAAGTAGGCACCTAAAAATTCTATGTTACAAGATGAAGTTTTTCTACGGAAATATTTAAAATAGATACTTACTCCTCTCTATATATTAGCATATATGCACAATAATTGCCACAGTATTAGAATAAAAAAAAATTAAGTCTTTCTGAAAAAGCTTATAAACCTTCAGTATCTCAAACAGCATATTCACCAAACACACACACACCAAAAAAAAAAAAAAAAAAAACCACCAGGGAAAAAAAAATCTACACAGTACCAAAATAAGTTGGATACTTATTACTACATGCCAGTTTAGAAAACACATGCAAAATAATCCTAAATTCCATGATGATCAATTTCTCCTATTTTCCCAGCACAACAGGAATGAAAATTAAATTATTTTGATAACAAAATAACTTGGAACCATTTTTAACAGATTAATGCTGATATAATAAAGGAATTAAATCTCCTCAGTTAATAATTAAAAAAGCTAATATGATCAGCCTCAGTATGATTGAAGACACTGTTTTTTTGTATTACTAAATACACAAAACCAATAGCTCCCATTAAACCCATGACAGTGTTGATTTTTACCTGTTCACTAGAAAAGTATCCATGAACATATTCAATAGCTTTTAATTTGTACTCAGTCAATACAGCCTAGAAGATACAGAAAAAAAAGATGTATAATTCGTTCCTGAAAAATTATAATTATAGCAAAATCATCTGCTAGAATAATCTATTAATCTAAAAAAATTTGACCTTACAAAGCGACATTTGCATCAATTACACTGCAGTATTCCTAAGTAACAGAGTACTCCCTAGATAATTGAGAGAACAATGAAAAGCAGGGAGATGTAATTTAATTCTTCTTTAAAAAAAAACAACTCATTTTTTATTTCATTTTGCTTTTTTATTGTTTAAAACTGTACTGAGAGAACATCATCATCACTCTTCCTTTTACCTCTAAGGTTTACATCAACTTTACGCTAAACAAGATAATACAGTTGATTATTCACACAAACTCTTTGTACGTACTCTGTAAAATAATTACCAAAGCATCTTACTTCAGTGAATTTATGAAGAGACTGGATAACAAGTCTGTACAGACAGAACTAAGTATACAAAAAAGCTTGCTCCAGAGGGTGATGTTTTCTTAGCATTACCTTCCCATAGGTCAAACTTTAATATGCAATCATACAAAACAAAGGAAGCAGAGTAGTTTAATGCAGTACTGGCCACCACTTTTGACTTTGTGGCAAGACAGTTTTGTTGATAGCCACGTGGGCTATCTAATAGCCAGAGCTTCCTCCCTCTCCTCATACCCAGCTCACTGATAGACATACAAGACGTAAAGTCGACAGGTAACAACTGAATTCCTGCCCCAATCTGGCGCACACACCTTTCTTCCCCAGTTTCCAAGGCCCCCTCTATTGCTAGCTTTCATGCTAACTATTCGCAAATCACCTCCAGCTTCAGCCACACGCCCATTTCTGTCTTCTTCCCAATAGCCCTAAAATTCCTTCTTTTTTGTGCTCAACCCTCCACACAGAGAGAGGTGAAGTTCTCGGTCACTGCAACCTGACTGCACAGACACCCACTCACATACTGTTCGAGGCAATCCCCTTCCTTTCTGTACCAACAGTACCAGACATGTTGAAGTCACAGGGGAAAAGAACTTCTCTCTTCATGCTCATCTTTTCTTCTCTCCCTTAATTCTCATCACATATTTTGGAAAAAAAAAAAAGCCTGGTATGTCATATAGCAACTTCTTTACCAAAACAAATGTCATTCTTCCTCCTTAAATCGACAACTGAATGACTTCATAATAAGAACACAAACAGAAAGCACTGCTTTGTGCATGTATATATATATGAAAAAAACCCCAAACCTCTCAAATTTCACTTTTTTTAGTAATCATAAATATATATGGGGAGGATAGAGCTAAGCTACACATTAAGACATTTAAATAATTGTTCCTGCTAATTGTAGGACTGAAAATGGAACACACCAACACAACTGACTTGTGAATCACATAATAAAGAAGGTTCTACCACAGATCTAGAAATGACATTTAAACAAAGACCTAGCAACAAAGATACAAAATAAGTATTTGGAAAATGAACATTACACTGGAACAGCACAGCTACTACTAACACAGCACAGCACTGATCCTTAGATCAACAGTAAGTTAGGTTTATAGGAATACAGGCAGATAGCATACAGGAAACATAATTGCCTAACGTCACATGTCAAAAACCCTTTTGTTTGAAGTCTTTAGTAATCACAGAGTGTATTCTGAAGGGCTGCACTGCAGTAGTAATATCTGAAAGATTACTCCCTCCCACCATCAATTCTCATGTGCAATTTGTTCCTTGATTTTTTCCCCCACATTTTCCATAAAATTTCTTAGGTTGGGAGGGAAGTCCACACCCTGAACTATCTTAGGCTGGTTTTAGCTGGTTACACAGTATGGACAATAGCTGTTGTATAAAGGAGAATTTATGACAATGACCTTATGTAAAATGCTAGTAAGTGCAGTTGTGATAACAAAGACTCATCACCGGGGCTTTTGTGCACAGTGGTTTATACCTCAGTATGTCCCAAAATAATACTACTGCAATTGCAGCCATCACTGTAACTCATGCTGAAGAGAAGCTGAACTGACACTCAACTCTAGCACCCAACTGAAAGGAAATGGCCTCTCCTCGACAACCCATCGTAACAAAAAAACACCTTTAACAAAAATGCTAAGGATTCCTTTTCTGCCATAGGGCAACCTCATCCGAAACAAGCCCTTCGTTTTCACACCAAGACAGCTTTAGCAGGATACGTAACTCTTCTACTGTGACACTTAAATCACCTCTGCTTAACTACAGCAAAATACGTCACCCCAGGTTTGTACTTAACACACAAGACAGGAACTATACTTCGACTAATCTGAGAGGTTCTGAAGGATCCAGACACTCTTCTGTCTCCTCTTCCACTTCCAGCATTTTGGGAACTGTCCCAACCACTAACCTCCAGCTTTCCTGTTAAAAGCAGGCCTCTGTGCAGGAAGAAATGAGAGCAGCTGCCAGACACCAGGAAGCCTAGGTTTCTATCTCCACTTCCCACAACTCATAGGTATTTTGCTCATTTTGAGTTTTTAACAGGAGATGCATGAGCACAGTTCAGAGCACACATCAAAACCCAGGATTTCACATCCTAGGGGACAGCGTGCATGCACCTGAGCTGTGGGAGATGTGGCTTTGAACAAGGACAGCAGAATCCATCTTAGAAATCACCCCTCATGTCACATTTGTGTGTTGTATCTCCTAAACCACCATATAAAAGGTGGATATCTCGCACTGTAAGTCCCCCATCTCCAGTCAGGCCAAGCAAACACCACCCCTTCCCCAAAATAAGAAATACTTGGCTATTTTAGCTTTTTTTCCTCGTCTTCCTGGACAGTGAAAATGCTGTGATGAACTTATTCAAGTGCTCATTTCAAATAAGCGCTCTTCAAGCACGTGTTGTTAGCTCAGTGGTAGCAGTCTGGGCATTCAATTTCAGTTTTCTGAGAAAATAAAAATAGCTCGGAGAGCAAGCATGTCAGAGCAGCTTTACACTGCCATATCTGACATACAAAAACTAGGATACACCAGCAACACAGGATTAGTTTTTCACACTGAGGTGAAATTTAGTCTTTATTGAATCCTGAAGTCATTACTAAAGACGACAAACACCTAACCTGGTGTGTTCATCAAGAGGAATATTATATCACCAAATGGTTAAACTAACATGCAAAATTAGCAGTTACCTTTCTAATTTCATCCAGCACGGTTTCAAATGATTTCTTATCCATCTTTATTAGCTCATTCAATGCAGATATTTAAACGTGGAGGAAAACAAAATTATAAAAAAAACAAAAAAAAACCAAAAAAACCCAGACCAAAGACTACTGAGAGTTTTTAAGGATACAGGAAAAAAAAAATAGTATACAGAAGAAAAAAATTTTAAAAAAGCAGGGGAAGAAAGGCTGTCCTTCGCCCCTGGAAATTTAGCGCTGACGCCTTTGCAAGGCTGGGCGCAGCGCCAGAGACAAAGGCAGACCGCCGGGTACCTCTCGCCGCCTCGGAGGAGACCCGCGCCCGCTCGCTGCACGTTTCAAGGCTGCTCCCGCCGGGAAGGAAGAGGAAGGGCACGGGGCACAGAG